AAAAAAAAAAACACCTGTTTACATTCTATTTAATCAAGTTTCTTCTGTGATTTCCATTGCGCCATCACCTATTTTAAACTGTTTAACCATCGCGAGAAAACGCGAGCGTCCCGCATACATTCGTGTACATGGATTGTCTAAATCTCTGAAAATGTTACCACTGGATAAATAGATAGAATATTAAAGGGAAAGGATGAAACATATTATTGTATTTGCATTACTGTATTTCATACTAAATTTTAAGCATCAAGATGAATAAGATTATGCATTCATTTACATTCTCTTGCTATTTGATTCACAATCTCTCTATTTATATCTTTAATGTAAAAGAATTTCATCTCGTGATTACATCGACAATGGGAAAGAAAAGAGAAAGGAAAATATGAAAATCAAATTGTAAGATATGAAAGAAAATGTATATGTATATATACTTTCTTGTAATCCTAAGGGAGATATGTTGAATTTTTCGAATCATTATTGTCATTACGATGTTTTTCTATCTTAGAGAAAAAGATATTAATAATAGTATATCTACTTTGTACATTATTGTGCTATATACTCTATGAAGAAATAAACTATCATTGTAATAAAAAAGCAGTACAAACAAAAATTGTTTATCTATCTCCTAATTTTACTGAAGAAAATTTGGATTCATGGTCGCGTTTTTCCCTACTTTTTTTCGACAGCGAAATCGAAATTCTTATCGATTGATTAACATGATTACTTTTTTTTCCGTTTCAATGGCAAAGAAAAATAAGAAAATTTATAAATGCTTTATGTATACCTTGAAATATGCTTATCATTAACTATAAAATATACATATCTTGAAATGCTTATTAGCTCGAATGCTTATTACTAATTATTTATATATCTTGAAATTAAATTGAAAATTATATAACTTAAAATATTGTGTTCGTGGTTCTTGATTCAACGCATTTTTATCAAAATCTATATCTGTTTTTGATAATCTTGATTTTATTTGCTTCATATTATGCAGTGTAATGTTTTCCTTCTGAAGATCTTTTTTGTACTTGTCCGCATTAAAATCATTCACTTGCATGGATGCTCAGATTGCTCTTCGATATTCTCAATATCGTTTTTTATGTAGCCAATTTCACTGAAAACCTATATATATAGTCTCTGACTCTGGATTAGTTTTGCACATACACTATATAAAGTTTACTCTTAATTTTATACACAATTAATATTCTGCAATTTAAAAGATCAATGAAATGAGAACCACTAAATACTTTTTTTATTCCGCTTCTCTTATGTAGTACTTGCGATACTCTTTAAGTACATTCCTTTATAAGTTTTAATATTATTTCAATTATACGGTTAAAATACTTTGTTTGTGACAAAATGTACTCATCAGTCATCAAATGCGGTAACTCGACAATTACGCTTGTAAAGCTGACATAAAGTTCTGTAAATAAAAGTGTAATCGACATTGTATGATATTTTTTCATTGCTTTAATACATACAAACACGACAATCCTTAAATGTTAATCTCATGTCATTATGAATCATAGCAATATAGCCAAGAAAATAATCTCTATGAGACGATTTATCGTAACAATTTAAACACGGCACAAAGGACATCGCATGTAGTAGTAAATTTTTTTTTAATTATAGCTTCTTGAATAAATCAATTCGGGATCAATTCGTCATCAGAATATTTCATATATTCTGGATAATTTTGAAAAAGCCTATATGTTTATGAATTTTATACTAATGACTCGATAGCGATACAATCACTTAGTAATTATAATCACTTAGTAAATTGCAAATCCGTAATGCGAAGCATTCTTTTCCACAATCAACCAAATCTTTTTTTCTTAACTTTCTTAAAATCTTTATGTTCAACTTGCGAATATAACCGTCGTTTCATCATAATCTTTAATCATTTTGAAACCAGCAACCGGATAATTAAGGAATTTCCCATTTCTGGAATTTAAAAAACATGAATATATTGTGACATGTATAACATTTGTACAACTGAATGTCGCTATGAACTCTGCTACCAACTAAACTAAACAAGTTCTTAGCAGACTTCATTTAATAATAATCATTTATAATAAATTATAATGTTTAATCATTTCCATGTTGAACAATTTTATTTTAGACACAATTTTTTACATAAAATTTATGTTTACTTAAAAATGAACGGAAATATAATTTCATACAGCAACTTTCCCCAATGTATCTGCGTACTGAAATTCTTTACTATTCTCATACTCGCACATATCTAGTGCAATTACACAGCTTTCTCGTACGACTCTCTTATTATCATTTAGATACTTATTTAGTATATCAAAACAATCTGGAGTAGCAATAGAACCCAACGCTTCCGCACACTCATGACGTACCATTTCATTTTCTTCTGCATTCTTTAAAGATGCCTCTAAATATGGAATAGCGATCTCTTTTTGAAGTTGCCCAAGAACAAAAGCTATCTCATGTTTAAATAAAGCACTGCCTGTTTTTAAACCTATAATAAATAAATTTTTAAATTTATAAAATTATAAAAACTTCTAAAATTATAAACATATAGCAGAAAGAAGAAAAGAAATATTATCTTATTTACCTTCACTAAGAGCAAGAATACTATCTGGAGTACATATATTTCTTAAAGAAAACATAGCTCTGTATCTTTCAAATAAAGAAATATTTTCATTTAAAAGAATCTCTTTTAACTCCTTAACGTCAGTAATATCTGTTGGTGGTGCAGGATCCACTGACATATAAGCACTCTTCTGTGAATTTATTGAATTACTATTTGATTTTAACCATTGTAATCTGCATAATGCTAATTCACATGTTTCTGCAACTTCTGATACACAATCTTTACTATATTCTTCTAATATTGGTATAACAGTAGGATCTCCAATTGCACCTAAAGCTTCACCTATTAGAAAGAAATATATTATTTATTTTAGGTACCATAAATTTTAACAATAAAGAAACAAATATATATAGTACCTGCTTCGTGACGAACCATTGGCTCCTGTGTAATGTCTTTTAATATTTCTATAAGAATTGGAATAGCATGGGAATCTTGCATTTGACCAAGGCAATATGCGAGTTCATGCTTTAGTAAAGCTGATTCATCATTAAAACAGTTATAAATTTGTTGAATAGCTTCAGCTCCACCGATATTTTTTAAAGTAAATAAAGCACGAAATCTTTCTTTTAATGGTCGATTTTGATCATTTAAAACGCGACCAATTGCAGATATTTGACTTTCATTTACTTTTAACATGTTTTCAGATTCTTAATAAAATTAATTGAACATATAAATGGTATTTATAATTACAATTGATGCCACCTTTTATAAGTTTCAAATATGAAAACACATGTATACTAAACTACTATTATACAGAAACATTTGAGGTTAAGTATCCAATCGAATAACGTCACATGTCTAAAATTTCTTAGAAACAATAAAAAGATAGGTACACAACAGTGCACATTAACTACATGCAATATACATATACAAAATTATATATACACCAATTGTAAATTTGTTTGAATAATGGCACAGAGTAGAACAGATAGAATTGGAACAATATTTTCAAGGTAATATTATTTCACATAGATTTCATGAAACTTTAAACATATATGTATTCTATATAAAATAGGTTAAAAATTCTATTATTATTTATAATTATATACATATATAAATTCATTATAAATTATACATAAAATTATTTATATACAAAACGATTGATAAGAGATGAAAGCATTGTTATTCTATTAAAAATTATAAATGCACAGCAAAAAATTTAAATCGAGTTATTTTGAAACTCTAGAAAATCAAATTTATTTAAACTACAAAAAAATAATCTTTTATCATTTTTTTTTAAATTTCATTCTACTTCATTTACTTTATTTTTAGAATGACAGCATTGGTACGTGCAGATGTGTTACATCCAAATAATTTACCATTATGGTATGAAATATATAAAACATTTCCTCCAAAATATGAACCTAAATATAATAGAAGACCACCAACAACAGAAATACAAAATATATTTTATCAAGAAGATCTTATAAGGGCGTAAGTAAAGTTTTCAATTTTATATAAATAATTGATGAATATATATTTTTTATCGCCATGCACTTACAAAATCTATTTATATTCTAAATGTCTAATTTTATAGAAAATTTCAAAAAGATATATCAGTTCCTATAATAGATATGAAAAGTGATGATGTTACCAAAACTCAAATCTTTTATACTTTATACGAATGCTTATTACAGGTAATATAAAACAGAAATTCTGTTGTATCCTGTTAAATATAATACTATGTGACATGCATCATAACACAACAAATTACAAATGTTATATGATTTACTATACTCATTATAGGGTGGTGTTAAAAAAGAAGAAGCATATAACAAAGCAATGATAAGTTATAAGTCAATTTTCAAGACTTACAAATCTAAACCATTACATAAAAGTGCTAAACAGAATGAACCTTAGTACCTTATATATATGTATATTGTATTTGTAATAATATACGAAATAGAAAAAAATTATATTACATGCATATTTATTCTTCGTTATGCATTTTGTTAATACTATATAGTTTGTTGATAAGTGTAAGATTATTTTCTTATTGTTATATATATGTAATATTTTAATATGTATATCATTGCTACATAATAATTTAATAAAAATATCAATTTGATTATTCATTGTAACTATTAAAATATAGTTAATATAATAAACAGTAAATATTATTATAAAATTTTCTACAACAATTCGTAATGTATGATAAACACATGTTAAAATAAATTCAGAAATTATCCTTATCGTCAGTACTTTAAAGGTTCTTTTAAAAGCATAACCTTTTATATATGTTTCAAATTAAATGTAAAAATGTACGTAATATAGAAGTACAATACTGTCGTCTACTGTATGATAGAAAAAGAATTGTATTACATAGTCTACAGTGGATTTAGTAGTTCTTGTTCGACACGTGATGTAGGTCAAAGTTATATTATTGTTGTGATCTCTAAAAATTTTCTACAATAAAACTTGAAATAATTTTACAAGCCAAGATGTCCTCAAGAAAAATTTTCTCATTAATTTTTATTAGAAAGACATCAGAAATTTTATTGGGTTTAAAAAAACGAGGGTTTGGAAAAAATAAATGGAACGGTTTTGGCGGTAAAGTAGAAAAAGAAGAATCAATTTTTCAAGGAGCTATACGGTAAATAATTTTTAATATCAGATTGAAGTTACTTCATTCAAATTAATTAGAAAAAGATTGTAAATTTAGATCCTCGCTTTCAATATTATATATTTTTTTAAACAAAAATAGTAATAAGTCAGGAACTTTATATTCAACAATCTTATATTAATAACCAATACATTAAATAACAACGAATTTTAACAAAGATTTTTATCACTTTATTTAACAATATACAGGGTGATTCATGAAAATTATAATAATAAAAATTTAATATAGTTAATAAAAACATATTTATGAATGTCAAAAATTTCTTTTATTTACAATATAAAAACAAAATTGTTATACATTATTTTTATTGACAATGATTTTTTTTTCACAATGCAATATATTTAAAAAGCACAATATATTTGTTTATATTTATTTAATCCTATTTAATCTTCTTTTGTATTTTAAGATAATTACAAAATATTTTTCATGAATCACCTTATATACACAGGTACAATTTTAAATAATTAAATAAATATAAAATAAAATATTTAAATTAAAATTATAATAGTGATTGGTAAAAATAGTAGAAAAGATAAATCTATAATGTATGCAACATATGAATATTGCACATATTGTGTTTTATAATATTGTTATATAAAATAGATAACAACTGACAAATATACTTTTTAAATTATCAGTGTATAATTTTATAGTGAATTAAAAGAAGAATGTGGTCTATCTGCACAGAAATTAAAAAAAGTTGGAATTTTAGAATTTGAATTTGAAGGGGACAAAGCCCTATTAGAAGTTCATGTTTTTGAAACATACAAATACAGCGGAGAGCTAATAGAATCTGAAGGTATTTAAATTTCAAACATTAATATTAATAACTAAAATTAATATTACATTATCATAAAATATTTATTCTTATTAATTATATATATATATATTTTTATGTGCAATTTCAATTATAATTCAATATTTCTATATTTGTTCATTTTAACCATATTGCAATAATTTTTATTTAATTATAAGCATGAAATTACATGTCACTATTTGAATTATGCAAACTATAAAAACCAATTAAAAGAACAAAAAAACTAGAGATTTGCTTGAGCAAAATGAAGAAATTAAAATATATATCTATTTTTTGCAATATCTAATTTATACCTACTTAAAAGTATAATAAATATATTATAATTATTAAACTGCAGATTTTTATGAATTTGTTATCAAAAGTAGAATGTTTGTTACAATCTGTGATAGATAAAAGAAATCTCTAAGTTTCATTTACTAATAAAAACATAAGGCATAAAAATTTGCCGTCTAGTAATTATATTTATATCTTTCTGTCCAGAAATGCAACCAAAATGGTATAATTTGAAAGATATTCCTTTCAAACAAATGTGGCCGGATGATGAATATTGGTTCCCCTACATGTTACGAGGGGAATTATTTAAGGGATATTTTTTGTACCGAGGTCAAGACCTAATTCTTAAGTATAACATTGAAACTATGGAAGAACTACCAGCATTAGATCAAGTCTTTTAACATCCATAATTCATTCATAATTTTTACATACACTCCTACTCATACCAATAACTTTAAAAAATTCACTTTCACATTTTTATAATTATAATAAAATTTTGTTTTACACTAATTTGACAATTTTTTTGTAGTAGTAAAACCATCTTCAAGTCATTACTTTTTATCACTCATTAATCTTATTGATTATATTAAGAAAGATTTTTAAGCATGAATGTATGAATATATTACATTGGTACTACATTAATTGTACCTGCTTGTTGATTTTCCACCAAATAAAAGCGCGCTAAACTCTTAGATATACAAATATTTACTAATGTTTCAGAGATCATTAAATAATTTTTTTTTAATATATTGAAAGGTTACTAATCCCCTTTTCTACCACTTTTTAAATAAAATGAATATATTCTTATTTTAAAAATCTAAGTACTTACATAATAAGTTATAAAACTATACTGTGATACATCACATAAAGATAAAAATATCCTGCTTAAATGCTCATTTTGTAAATAAAGATTTGCAGAGAATATATTAATCAAGCACCATGTAGCTTGGACAGATTAAAGGATAAATATTTTTATCTTCAGCTCAAAAGATACAAGGTGAGGCAAGGTAAAAAGCTTAAAATCTACAGATTAAAGTATGATCATGGACGTATAGAATTTTCAACCAGTTATATCACTTTTATCTTTGCACCATAAAGCACTCTTGGCTTTATTTTGTTATAGTTTATACTTAAGCAGCTGACCAATGTTCAGATCTCCATAAGAGAGCATACATACTATGTTTAAGATCTTCTGCGTCTAAGCTATCGATCAGAAAATCTGTATATCGTGAAATTAAACTTCTGTAACCCTGACCAACAGTTGCCAGTACTAATTTTTTTTCGTCTGTTGATTTAAACGATATTATTTGACATACTTTACCTTCAAAGGGTCTGAAAACGGTGATCGGTCTGAGAGAGTTGCATTCAGCTACTACAATACATCCCCAAGTAGTACCAATGTACAACTGATTCCTGCAAGTTTCCAGAGCTGTTACTTGGCACTTTTCAGTTGATAAATTTTCTTCTATAGAGATGGATTTTAAACTTTCTGAACAAGGTACTAATTTAGACATATCTAATTTATTTATTATTTGTCTAGTATCCACATCCCATTGATATACAATACATCCAGGATACGTATATGATAATACACAATTTTCAGCACTCAATAAATGTGTAGCAAATAAATTCTTAATAGCTGTTTCTCCATGAGAAACTTGTACTGTATCTATTAGATTGTTGTCTTTTAAAACATAAATGGATACTTTACCAAAACTTTGTCCAGCCCACAACTCTAATATTCGCTTTTTTTTATAAACAGCTGCCAAAGAATATGTCTTTACACTATCTTGAATATCAGTCGTAATTTCCATCTTTTTCATTTGTGTGAAAGAATTGGACAATAAAAATGTTTTTCCACTATGTAATGCCACTGCAAATTGTTTTATTTGTTCCAAATAAATTAAACCTACTATTTTAGATTCTATACTATGATCAAGTTCAAGATTGTAGCTAGCAACACAACCAAAATTACTGCCTAAATAAACATGTACTTGCCCTATATCATCACCAATCCATATATATCCATCTACTCCACACATTGCGTATGGTATTATAGGAGTCTCAATCCTGACATGTTGTAACCAACCTTTCTGTGTTCCTAATAACATATCAACTTCACCATTATTATGTCCAAACCAAATTTCATCTCCATTTAAATTTTCTTCTATAGTTCTATTTGTCATAGTAATAGCAGTTACTTGAGTTCTCTCTGTTAACAGTATAACATCTATAAGATGTGTAAATTCAGGGGCCGATGCAATAGAAACTATTTGACTTGCAGTAGGTCGATCTTTTGGATTTTGAGCCCAACATATGACCATTAAATCAAGAGCATAACAAGGGTGAAATGTTTCTCTGTATGTCAGCGGCGGTCTTCCACCTTCTAAAATGCATTCTTTAACTGCTTCATGACCCTCAAATGGTTGTCTTAAAGTGATCAATTCATATATAAACATTCCAAATGAAAAAGAATCAACTTTTTCAGTATATTCTTCTTCACCGTTATATTTAATAATTTCAGGTGCCATAAATCCTTCTGTTCCTCCAAATCCTTTAGCACCAGTTGGTAATGTGAGTCTGGATATACCATAATCAGCTACTTTAACATGAACAGGATGTTCAGGATAATTTTGGAATGGTAAAGGCATCTGCCAAACTAAAACATTTTCTGATTTTAAATCCCTATAAATCACATGTTGTTGATGAAGATATTCTACAGCTTTTGCTACTTGAAGAATTATAGCTTGTAATGTATATGGATCTAATTTAGCACCAGAACGTCTATAATTTTTCAATACATTATCTAATGCACCTTCTGGTGCTAAATCTAGTACCAATGCTAGTGGACTAACTACTATTCCAATTAGAGGTACAATATTTGTATGCCTGAGTGTCAGTAAAATATTTAATTCTTGTCTTGCAGTACAATAAGCTTTACAAGCATATTGTAAAGGATCTCTATCCCATTTACTCTGCGCAGCTTTATAAGCAAGAATAGCAGATTGTTTTGAATTTGGACCTGGTGGAACTGGTTGTAACATTTTGATAGCAACATCAACTTTTTGATAAGTTCCTGGTAGGCGACAAACACCTTTAAATACAAATCCAAATGCTCCACGACCTAATAATTTTCCTAATTTAATGTCTTCCGATTTTATCAAATGTTTTGATCCGAGATCCATAAAAATAATATCTGGAGCTACATGTGACAATGGTATATCAAAGTGTTTAGGGCAACTAATTGGTTTATTACTATAGGCGGACAAAATACATTCTTCGACCATCCAAGAATATGCTAAAATACCTTCAGAATGGGTATTTTGTTTAATAATATCTGGATGACCTTCTAAAGATGGCATCCTACTTGACGTTAAGCTATCATATCCTACACCACTATCACCATCAGACTTATAACTATCCTGGCTTTGTCTTTCCTTATTTATGTAATATTTTTGAATATCTTCAGTCAAGCGATCGTTATCACTAATATCATTCTCATTTTCTCCATTATTCAATAAACAACGTGGACATGGTATTAATCGTGTAACTAATAACTTACCCTCGGATGTATGCACAAAACGTGTTCCTAATGTAGGATACCAATCTTCTAATAAAATATCAATGTGATCGACTATTAGAGCCAATAATTGTGGCATACTTTCTGGTCGAGGTTCTACTACAATTGCTTGATATCCCATTGGTTCTTCTTCAACCGAGTCTGACATAATGGGCTGTTTTATCACTAAAGTATCAACTGGAAACCAAATTTCTAAAATTGCTGAATTCTTTAAATCTACTGTACACCATATTCCATCTTGTTTCAATTTAAATTTATATTGCCTATAATCGTACGGTGAATTCTTTAAGTTATAATTGACTTCTTTGAGGCGCAGTAAAGTAATATTAGAATATCTTAATTCTATTCCTGTTTGCCAAAGTACCCACTCAGCTTGTGTATCTAACAAACTTGTAAAAATACTGTCATCAACAAAATCTTTGAAAGGCGCTAGAAATGACATCACAATCTCGACAATAGCATCGTCAGCTAAAATCCTAGTTATGAGCCTCGACCAAAAACCACTGGGAAAATATGACATTAAAAGCAGTCGCGTGACAGAACAATCTGGTTGTGACCTAGACGTTAGTACACACTCTGTATTCGATTTACCATCCCCGGTGGAATTCTGGAATGTTATCATCGGAGATGTAATCTTTTTAGAACGTATATGCCAACCACGTGTTTTTACAGGTATTTTGATTACTTGATTATTTCTTAAGATATCCTCTTCTGTTGGCAATAAGGAAGGAATTAATAAAGTGCGATAATCCCAAGTTAACGCAACTTCAAACTTATTTAACAAGCTAACGATGTATCCTTGCGTATCTATAGATGATATCGTAGAAGACTTAAAAACATGTTGAATATCGTCTAATTTCATTATGCCACACCTGGCAAAGGGATTGATCTCTCGTATCGTTACTACATGTGCTAACATGTCGCAAAGCCATTGTGGATCAAGAAAATATAAATCCTTTAATGTAGCATCGTCATAATGTAAGATAATACCATTTTCATGAAGAAAGAGTGTTGCTTGATGTAGTTCAGCGGGATCCCTAAATGATCTATGCAATTTTTGAAGCTCGTTGTTAACTGCCGTATAATACTGATCAGCTTTTAAGACTGGATCTCCACCGGACAATTTTCTGTCGTGTGCAAGCTGTATTACTACATCCTCCAAGGCGAGATAACTGGCAGGAACTTTTTGTTCAAGCAATAATTCTTTGCTTCCAGGTGATCTTAAACTAAATACAACATCGTAAATCAAGTTACATAACATTTTTATATTGTGTTTCGTTTTACAGCTCACTTCGATGGTTTCCATGACTTTCGGTAACCCACATTTTTCAGCATCGACCACATTTATAAATTTATCACGAATGTATTGTTGCAATGCCTCGCTGTGTTCATACGATATGTCATAATGAGTGCCAACAATAATTACTGGAGAATTGGGGGCTCTACTTTGAATATTTACCAGCCATTGAAATATTTCAGATACACCTTTAAAACCATCGATGATTCTCCATACTACCAAATATAGGCTTCGTTTAGACAAGAAGTATTGATGCGTTGCATAGTATTCTCTTTGTCCACCAAAGTCCCACGTTCTAAAATAAACTGGCCCGTGAGACGACTGACCTCTTACTTTCTTCTCATAAATCCAGTCTCCGATATCAACGCCAACGGTAGATATTGTTGTTCCTCTGGCAGTTTTCGCGTTGATATTTTTATTACCCATTCTTTTCGCCCAATGTTCTGCGGCTTTCTTTTTGTTTGGGACTTCGCCCTCTTGCCTTAACTGTTCCAACAAGCTGGTTTTACCGATACCTTGAATTCCAACGATCATTAGCTTCATGCGCGCATACGGTTTAGCATCCTCTAAAATTGACTTCAAATAACCGATCACGTCCATCGTTTTGTATTTCTTTGACTCGATCATCGTTTTCAATGGCTCTTGCAATCTACAACCTTGAGTATTTAAATTCCATAAACGAGAAAGTAATCCCATTTGCGGCGGCAATTCAACGATTTCCGGATTACCGCTTATATTTAAAACAGACAGATTATTAAGCTCGTAAATGTTCTGGGGAATCTCTTTCAATTTGTTGTTGCTGACGTCGAGCATACTGACATTAGGGAACAGAAGGTACGACTTCGAGCCGGAATAAGTGATCTTCGTGTCTCGGTCCACGTTCTCCTCTTCTAAATTCGGCATTTCTCCGTCATCGATCGACGTCAATTGAATTCTATTCAACTGGTTATTAGCAAGGATCAACGTCCTTAAATTTTCTAAGCGCAAGTGGCGTCTGTGCGTGCAAACGGACATGAGAACTACGTCGCGTAAGGATGTAGCCGTTTGTCTGTTACCACCTGGAACGATCGGCGATTGGACATTTGTTGTGGGGCAATAACACGCGGTATTTGCCTGTTCCATCAAGTCAGCACCGTCCACTTGTGGCAAACTGGGCCACCGAGAGATCTGATTATTGGATAAGTCTAATTGTTTCAAACTTGCCGGATACGATGTGATGTGACTCATCGATCGAAGAGAATTATAAGCCATGTTTAATCTCACTAAATTGACAGCCAAGCATGGCAAAGCTACTGGAATACTATTGAATAAATTATGCGCCAAATTCAGGGACCCAAGCACCGATCTTGCCCCGCCTTCGTTATCGTCCGAGACCTTCTCCGATACTTGAACAGACTTGGTCCAAACGTGAGGGCGGTCCATCTCTATGATTTGTGCATTTGCTATCTTAGTGAACGACTCAAACTCCAGGGAATCCTCGCGTGAAATAGCTAGTTGCGACGCTAAACTTCGACTGCTAGGGCTGTTGTTTAAACAATCCTCACGTTGTGCTTTCCGCGAAATATTTTGCGAAACTTGACTAGGTAAAGTCTTCAACAGATTAAACGACGCATTCAATTCCTTTAATTTCGGCGCCCGCCACAGATTATCCGGAAGACATTGCAATTTATTGTTCGAAACATCCATGATTTCCAATGCAGGTAAATTCATTATGAACTCCGGCAACTGTTCCAATCGATTGTCCTGAAGATACATCTCTTCCAAAACTGGACACAGTTTGTCTTTGGGATTTTTTGGTTCAGCTGTAAGAGTATCTATTTTATTTTGAGCCATGTTGAGGTATCGTAGACTTTGTAAATAAAATATAATAGATGGTACAGAAGTGATAGAATTAAGAGAAATATCTATCCTCGTGATAGCATACAACACCAAGTCGTTGTTCTTAGCGCTCAGTTTTTTGTTCACGTGTAATACAGCATCTGTTAGCCACTGAGCTCGTATTTGCGAGAGATGACACTGTTGATCGTGCCAATTGATCATCGTCGGTGTATTTGGAAATAGCGCCGAATACGTTACATTCCCGAAGGAAGATAATGCAGAAAAGTGAGACGTTTGAGTACACTCGGTCATAGCTTTCTTATTAATTTTGTATTCTGAATCGGGATAAGCTTTTATAGATAAAAGTTTTGCCGTAAGCGGTTCGTCTCTGTTTTGTGCAGCGATTTTGATTGCTTTGCATGTATTATCCACAGCGCCGTGCTTCAACAAAAGATCCGCAGTTTTTATGTCACGCTGTTGACAAGCTATAATTAACGCGCTAGAATAATTACTTTCTGGATCGCTCTGATCGTAAGGAACTTTTACAGGCAAATTAGGATCGGCACCTGCCGATAGTAAAGCGGCAACTACTTCTGTGTGCTTGCCTTTTACTGCTGCATGTAAAGAAGTCTCAGTAGCGTTGTTGCAATACAAATCTAAATTTAATGGACATATCATATTGTCATCCTTTTTATCGAACGCTTTGCTTCTAAAATTTAAACTAGACATTAATCTTTGTATTCCGCTTGAAATTTTTCTTTTCGAGATCGGCATGGGCTGCGCCACCCCCATGTCTTCTTCTTTGATTTTTCTTGCTTTCACTTTATAATTTAATAGTAACTCTACAATTTTAATATTTCCAAGCATACTAGATATATAAAGAACATTCTGTCCCGTAACGTCCTGAGTATTGATGTCAAATGGCATCTCGTATTCATATTCCCCGGATGAGTCTTTGTAGCGTTGATAAGTATTTTGTGGATATTCGAATTTCAACAGTAAATCAATAACTAAATGATGACCATTTATAGCCGCTACATGAATCGGTAACCATTTCTCCACGGTTAAAGATTGTACTTGTTTAGGGAAATGTCGGAGAAGCAATTCCACTATTTCTACTTTACCATTGTAACAAGCTATATACAATGGACAGTATTTGGTTACAGGATGCATTCTGCAGTCTGCACCATAATCCAAAAGCAAACGAACTACATCTTTGTGACCCATCTCGCAAGCTATAAAAAGCAGAGTATTTGCACCATTTGGTGCCATGTTGATAATACATTCCAAATCTGAAGTATGCCCTTGAAGAAGATTCTTAGCTGCCACGCTGTCTCCTTGAATACAGATTGCACGCAAAGAAGCATGTACTGCAAGTTTTGCCAATTCATATTTTTCAGCTGCCGATTTCAGCAAATTTATACAGACATCTTGCTTAGCTTTCTCAGCCACATCCAATGGCCTCTCGCCATTATTGTCTTGTATCATTAGATTAGCATTGAATTTTAAAAGTTTCTCAATATTGGAATTATGACCATGTTCTGCACAAATATGTAACGGTGTACGATAATGACCTCGTGGTCCACATGGAATATTTGGATTTGCTCCTGCAGACAACAATACATCCAAACATCTTGAATTTTCAGTAATAGCTGCGGCATGCAACGGTGTTCTACCCCATGAATCTTGACTATTTATATATTGTGCATGCTCTCCTCTTAGAAGATCTTCCAACAATTCTGCATTATCCCACAAAGCAGCTTGGTGTAGCAGACGGCCAGGAAAGTCTTCATCGATAGGAGTATAATCTTCCATGGTGTGAACTACAAATATTTACATTGTATTTCTATTCTTTATATTTCTCATTGTATTTCTATTTTATATATATATTCTCTTTGTAAAAATATTATTTTACACTTACCAATCTGAATCTTGCGTGTAAATATCTTAATTACATGATTATAAATTCATTTGATCATCGATTACACAGTGATATTGTTGGTGCATTCTTCTTTTGCGGTATTTTGCATATGATTTTTTATTTTCAATTCGATCAAAATTAAATGTTTTGTGTTTAATACAATTTAATATACAAAAAATTGTACTATACTCTATGAATTTTAAATCCACTGTGTCTAAAGTGGAAGTTAAATATTTGAGATTGTTTATATACATTTGTAAAATTTCGATTACTTAATTACGTCTTTTTGTATTAAAAAATTCTATGTATGTATGTTTGAAATAGAATCTCTGAATTTATTCTTGTTACTTTAGTAACATCGTTTGCTTTCTTCTAGCAGTTAAATAACAATTTTTATTTATCATTTAAAATACTTTAATACTAGTGCATTAATATAAAACTCACATATAATACATCATCACATATCAATCGGAGTACGGTTCAAAAATATTTGCAAAAATCATGTTGAATTAGTATTTCCTAATTTTTCGCTGCTCACTATATATGCGTAATTCTTCCCCATGGTTTTTAATTGTCTTCTTTTTCACTGACAATTATAACAATAGCTTGTTTTCCATGATAGCTTTGGAGCAAAAAACTAGTGCAGTATTAAACATAACACTCAGCGATGGCCATTTTGTCAGTTCTCTTTATCGACTGTACGCACCTTTAGTTACAATTTTATGCATGAGCATCAATGACATGCATGAATAACGTTGAATCGATTTAGACGAATAGTATTGTCACAGACGGAACGTAGAATAGATCTATTATCTTATAGAATTTCGTGTTACATAAACTGAAATACCGATCGTGCGAAAAAAATCCAAGGTTTTATTATGCCTCCTCTTCCCTCCCCCCACGTTTTAAAATAGTAGATTTAGGAAGTATAATCAGTCCAATCATCGTACTTGATAAAGTTAGTGGGTGTAAAAAGAAAAATGTCTTCTATTACACTCAAGCGTAAAAATTCTATGTAATTGTATCGTGTGGTTGGAACTATAGTAAACTACTGACATAAAGTATCACACACAATAAAATCATTCATGAGTGAAAAATTGCATTCTTATATTCCTCATATTCCATATGTATAATACAGTGTAATGAGAACATCATTAATAGATTTGTGAGAAAATAAGTTCAAATGTAATCTTATGCAGACTATACATAAATATTATCATGATATTGTTATAAATTTTATTGTATATGATATCAATATATAATTATGAAAAATCTAATTTCAGCAATTCATCAATGATAATTTAATTTTTATCACGATAAAAATACATACAACTCACTTTTCTAATTATAAGTAATCATCATTAATTTATTATTTTCATAAAAAAATTAAAATTTTTAATTACATTTAATTCAATATTGTGTTGATAAATAAAAATAGACCTTGCTCTCAATATCAAATGTGTGAAAACCAGCAAATTTTTACGTGTAATATTATTTTATATCCATCTTTCTCATATGTATATAAATAGTATATTCTATTAGAAATTTTATTTTATTTTCTATCATTATTAGTAACAATAAAAAAAAATTATATTCGCTAAAATATCATTATTGTAAATAATTTCAATTAAACGTAAGAGTCAGTATGTAAAAATATTTATTTACAAATTTTATCGTTATATCTATAACATTAAGGAGATGTACTATGATTCAATGAAATACATTAATAATTATGTATAGAAATTTTTTTTAATTAAAAAATTAGAAAACTCTTTAACATAATAAATTGGTAATAAATCTTCTAATGTTCCACTTGGCAGCCTTCAAGACTCAATGCTCGAGCCAGATTCCTGGCGACAGCTAGTCGGAAAATTTCAATTTTATTTTGAAATTTTAGGTCGTCTCCATGTGCTTCTACGCAACGTAATAATTCAAAACAATCACTGGAAGACAAAATTACATCTTTCGCTTCTAATAGTGGAATAGCATCCGACAAAAGTATTGACCAAAAGCTGAAATAAATATTTTTTACCGTATTAATTTTCTATTTAAATTCCAATTATATTTATCTAATTATAAGTAACTTACTATTTCGGTGTTAAATTTGAAACTAAAAGAGATACTAATAAACTTGCTGCTTCTTTAAATTCTCCAATGCTATACATTTGATGAAATTCACAATACTTCCCTATTATAAAAAGCGAAAAGCATAATTGATATTTTATTAAAAATTTGTTTATGTTTTTATAATTCCAAAATTGATTTACCCAAAAATGTGAGTCTATCACTAGCCATCATACAAAAACCTAAATTTTCTAATAAGTCACGACAATCCAATTCTCCATATTCTGCATAACGCTTTAAAAATTGATCTGCGATATATGTTATAAAACCACTATCCTGTGCTTTTAATGCCCATGCAAGCGCATTGCCCAATCTTCCTTGTTTCATAGACTTCAGTCCCTGAATTTTACAAATACTAGTAACTGCGAGAGAGAATGTTTAAATAGACAATCTTGTATTAAAACAAGTAAAATATATTAATTTGAGAAATGATATCAACCTATATGATCCATCTTATTATCTCGTGCTATGTCCAGGATCTTATTTACTCTTGCTTCTGATCCCATTGGTAGTGATTGTAATAGTATCTCTAGTCTCGCTAAACCTTGAGCAGGACAATGTATCAAGTAACTTGCACCACATTGCCATAAAGAGTGATGTCCCATTAGTGTGTTGCCATATTCCAATATAAGAGATTCATGAAGTTGATTACTGACTCTGATAAAAATAAAATTTAGTTTAATTTTTCGTACTTCGAGTAATATGAATTATTATTATTATAACTCCACTTACTCCACTTGGTCTCTATCCAATATTTTAAGTTTTCCACAAGCATATAATAAATCTACCAAATGAGCAGCAAACCATCCATTATCACCCATGTATTGTATTTCTTTAATAACATGGTGCAAGTTGCTTTCCATCACAGCACGTATAGCATTATCAGAAGGTCTATTAGCTTGCCATCTTTTGGAAATATTATTAGCATGAAGAGAAAGTTCAGGTTGCTTACAACACGGAGAGGTATAAAATAATTTTGCTGCCAACAATTCATACCAAGCATCTGTATATTGTGAAAATTGCCACAGCATATCTTGCTCTCCTGCAATTAACTGTATTAAATGTTTTTAATAATTTAAGCAGATACTACGTTTCATTGTATATACTCGTATATATTGTTATAGATACCTTCATAATCATTTCCAAATTAGTGTCAACAATAAAAGCTTTACTGTTTAAATTTGAACATAACTCTAGTTGCCAACGTTTCCAACATGTAGTAAATCCATCTACAGAATAACCACCATATACATTATAGATAGGCATTGTTTTAAGAACATTTTCTGCCATTACAAAAGCAGGGTGATCTGCTTTACTATGTAATGTCAATAAAGCTCTCACTAAATCTAACTTTCCATGTAATGCACAGCCTATTACAGCTTCCCAATAATTTGGATACTCCAAATCAGCGCCGATTGTCTTCTGAGCTAATATTTTAACTGCTACAAGTTCTCTAGATGGAAAGTGAAATCTAATCCACTCTAACAGCTGTGGTAAAATTACATCCCCTAAATTAAAAATATTGAATTTTAAAACTTTTTGACACTTATTTGTTATTTTTCATTTTCAATATATAATTTACCTGGCACTACATCTACATAAAGAATTTCAATCAAGTGCCAAACACATTCTATTTGATAAAAAATGGTCAGAAAATTTTCTAGTGATTCTTTCTTATCTGACAAACATTTTCCACAAATGTCTTGCAAACTTTCTATGCATGCTCTCAAAATAGACCTGTATTGCTTGCTATGTTTTAAAAGTTCTGGTCTAACATCTCCAGAAACAGATTTTATTTTTTGAATGGACAGAAAGACACCGTTACTCTCATTCACTAATTTACGTAATTGTGGTGAAAATAAAATTATTTCTGGTTTTAAAATATATACCATCGGATCATATTTTTCCAAACTTCCTTTAGCTAATTTTTTATATATGCCAATTCTGTTACTATTGAGCCAACTTCCAGTTATATGTAGATGCTTAGGAACATTTGGAATACCCTACAAATAAAAATATTCTTTTTATACATTTTCACTTGACAAATGTAAAATCTAGCTAAAATATATATCTTATAAGAAAACTAAGTTCTATGGTCTCATTAATTTAAATTAACTAACATAAGAATAAGAATAAAATTATAACAATATTATCATGCCTTCCTTTTGCTAAATAAACTTATATTCAATTTATAATATGACTTTTATAAGATTGGAACAATATTAATTACACGAAAAATGTAGGTTAAGTATCAATACAAAGCATGCACGCGGTTCGTAAAATTTTATTACTTACTATTACTGGAAGACTATCGTTTTCATCCATACTTATACGAAAAAGAAATTATTATTCCAAGTTACTTTATTGTGTAATAACAACTTTCACATTTGTAACTAAGTTTATTGTTTTTCTATAGATTAAATGCACAGTACTGTCAACTATCGATAGCACTATTTAATTGTGAAATAATCGATATATTGTATCTCCATATTTACATATCGATACTCGGCAGACATTATCGATAATATCAAAAGAAACGTTTTATCGAAATGTCTTACCGACATTTTGAAGTGGTTCAAAACTTTAGCAGCACTTGATGAAATTTTTAATTTGTTATTATATCCAACATTGTGCTTTAATTAATTAACTAATTAATAGTAAAGGCATAGTCCCGAATCGACAAGAAAAGAAATGTGAAACAAAAATGAAAAAAAATGAGAAGTAAAACGTAATACGAAGGTGTAAGTTCCAATTAAGATGCATTTTTGCAATAATTATTATTATTCACACTATTTATTTATTGTTGAATTAATTGCAATTAACAATTATATTCAAACTTTTTAGTTTTGTTCTACACATTCAGTGAAGAATTCATAGACTGGAATTTCATTTCATTAAGTAGCTAATGCCTCCAGCAATAATATTGTAACCTTAATCCCTAGATTTGTGTTGTTTGGATTAAAAATCGACACTGTTCGGTACAATTGGTTTTACTGTATATCAAATTATTATTAATGAACTGGGAATTTTTATGCTTTTATAGAAAATTCAAAGATATAAAAATGCATACAATGCACATAGTACATGAAAACATACCAAAATGTGAGAATATATGTGACAATACGTTTAATATGTCAAACCTAGTCTATCTGAACTTTACTAAAATATGAATTTGCATAAAAATTCGCAATCTAATTATTAATCTATACTAGTATATTAGTGTAGTACAGTGTAATACAGTGTCAATTAAATTATACATTACATGACATCAAAGAGATTTCGATATTCATATGTTACAATAATAACATTTATTTATAATTGTAAATCTTATTTTACAGGTAGAAGTACAAGAATGACTGTGAAAAACAACTGAAGATTAGTCTACATCAACATTTTGATGTGTATACCACACAACATAAGCACGAGTCAGCCCCACTCACGCGGAACACTTGGCAGGTCGGATTCACCATTGGCGGCCGAACGTAACCGAGGAAATACGACCATGGGAACTGGATTCCGTACGAATAATCTGAGCTTGCGCGGTGCTTTCGAAAGGCGCGTCCTGGCTCGGTCGTCTGACTACGG